AAAAATACAAAACACGATATTAGATTTTTAAATCTCGTAAATACGAGTCATAATGTGCGATATTTAAAAAGCGTAAATAAGAATTGCAATGCACAACTTTTAAATCAGGTAAATACGAAAATCGATGATTGATATTAAAATAGCATGAATAAAAATCGAGATATTTGCAGAGTCTGGACTTGGGATTTCTAAAAGGCTTGTTTGAATTGCTTTTTGTTTACACAATAAATAAACATTTACAAGATTAATTGAATGAGCAAATAAATATTTTCACCACAAATCCACCTCTATTTTTTTTTTCGCCTTTTTTGTTTGCTTTCTCTCCAGAGTACAAGAAGCAGCGACGTCTAAATTACGAAAATACGAGCTATCCCGCCGACGGATAAAAAATACGGAAAATCTTATTTTCTGTGCGTGAAATCGGAGAAAATAGCTGAAATAAGTAAACATGCGGAAGGATTAGCAGCTAGGACGTAGTTTGAATTTTCTGTTTTTCTTTGAAAATCGTAAATAAATATAATAATTTGACTTCAAGGACTGAATTTTTTTTAAAAAAAACGGGATATTTATAAATAAATAAAAAATAAAAAAACAAAACTTTTAAAGAATCTGAGTTTTTGATAAAAAGGCTGAAATTCGAGAGACAAAAGCGAAAAAAATCTCATCCCTGTATAAAGATCAACCAGTTTTATCCCAAGGAAATGATTTTTAGAGAAACTTCAGAGGGAGAAATGAGGACTTAAATAACTTCGCTCCGCGGAAAATTTAATTCCTCATAAAATATTTTAACTTGAGCAACAAAAAAAATTTCAGCGGAAATTAGCGGGAAAAATGGAAAAATCTGAGAAAAAGCGGAAATCCGCGAATCCGCGGAAGAATCTCATCCCTGAGTTTACAATAATTTATATTCTTAACTCAGGGATAAAACTTTCTTGTAAAAATATAAAAGCATTTTATCAGTCTAAAATTACTTCACTTCTGTATGTAAACATCATTTAAGTCTGTAAAATTAATGATGCAAAATTATAAATAAACTGATTAATGATGTAAAATTAAGTATAATAAACTGATAAAAGGAGTCACTCCAACGTGAATTTTTATTTATTATTTTTTTACAGTAATAATTTTAAAACTAATTTACATTACACAAAAAAGAATATTATTTGCATATTTAAATTATTTTTTTTTAAAGAAAAAAATCACAGGACGATTTGACATGTTTTTCTTAAAAGCATTCTCCATCTTCCTTTTGCTAAATAACTAGATTTTGTATCAATTTAACTTTGCAGTGTTGTAGAAATTAGAGTGCAATAGAAAATAAATTCAAAGAAGAAAAATTTGATAAAAAAAAGTGATTTTTTTTAAAATTTTTTTATTAATGACTTAAGAATTTCATATAGCTATTTTTTAAAATTATATCACTCCATTTTAAGTATTACATTATAATTGATGACAAGTTTCAAAAAGCTGGTTAATTTTAGCTACACTTAAAGACAAAATGAAACAATTAAAGTTTAAGATAACAATATTTCGGTGATGAAATTCACTTAGGATGAAAATAAAAAGATTGTGTTTTATTTAAAAAAAAAAAAATCCTGATATTTAATTTTATACAATGATTTGAAATAAAATGGGTAAACTACCATCAATACCTATGCTACCATCAATAAAAGATATTCATTTTTTATATTTTGGTCAAAGAAAAAGGTAATTGATAGCAAAATAAACATTCAATCGATGAAGACAAAAATTATAATATGCATGCCTGTTTTTGTGTTTCATATTCACTGATAAAGGACATTTTAATTTTAGTTTATGAAAATATATTTTATTGGTCCCCAGTAAAAAAAAAACAGGTTTAATTTTTCCAGGATTTCACCATGTTAGGCTGAGATAAAGTAACAGTGAACTTATCTTAATACTCAAAAAACTAATTTAAAATATTATTTAATAAACAACATTTTTATCATTATGGTTAAAAAAGATAAAAATTTAATAAAAAATACCTCCACGAGAGAATACTGTGAGTTTTTCTTCATGAATGTTTTAGCCGTTTTCTCCCTCCATGCTTTAGCAGCTTCCACATGGTTCTCCATTTGATTCAGCTGTTCAAGTCTCACTGGTATAGGTCTACCTTTCGAAACTAAATACTCTAAGACTTCAATATAAGGATAATGCTCTCCGCTCTAAAAAAATATATACAAATTTATTATAATAAAGTAAACTAATATAACTTAAAGTAGTAACTATAAAAAAAATTTATTCCGAAATTTATAAGTTAGTAAATTTTCTGCTAACAATCTAACTAAATTAGTAAATGAATAACATAAATTCAGTTTGCACTATTCACATTTTTAGGTGTTAATATTATTCTATTAATATGACAAATTTGTTTCCTCATATATTATTGATTTATTTTATAATGCTTTTCAAAAAAAAAAAAAAACTAACAAAAGGTCATAATTAATAATACAGTCAAATCCCACTAAAGTGAACCTGGTTCATTGTGAACATTTTTAGTGGTCCCATCTCCCATTAAACTATGCAGGAACAAATCTCTCTATTTTAAGAATCATCTTCTGGTCACTTGTTAACTTGCTTCCCTGATTCTTGGAATCCACTTACTCTACAAACCCCTATTCATTACAAATCACCTTTTGAAATTTAAAAAAAAAAAGGCAGTCAAAGAATTTAATCAGTTTCACAGTTGTTTTCTTAGTGTTCTTTTATATCAATAAGAGATAAGCAGACTTTTTTTTGTCCAAAAGCAGTAAAAATTGTGAATTCTGTAGAAAGGAAAGCATTTCCGACTGAGTTAAAATTATCAAAATTTTCAATCTTAATAATAATTATCTTCTTTTGTAACAAAAGTACAATACTGAAGAAAGAAAAAAAGATTTAAAAAGAAATGAAGAAAAAAGTGAAATAGTGTTGCAGGCAAAATCAATAGTGAATATATTAGTTTTTTTTTTTTCTGCCAGAGAAAATGTAGATAAGAAAATTCTGGATTTATTGATTATTAATACAGAAATTAATGGACTCTACTTAAAATTAAATTGTATTCAAGTATTCAATCAGAAATCACTCAATTCTATCATAGATAATTAATATGAAATCAAAATCAATTTTAAGTTAAGTAAATAATTTTCTTTTTTATTTAAATAATTAAAAATTTATAAGCAAATTATGTCATACCACAATCATTATTTCCAAGAATATAACTGTCCTATGTTACAAAAATATTTTTCAAAGAATTTGGATATAATGAACCATAGTATATATATACATATGTAGTCAGACCTCGATATAAGGTCATCCGCATATAAGGTCACTTTTCCGAAGTCCTGGCTCACTGAATAGGAATTCTTTGTTACAGGTTATCGGATATATGGTCAAGTTTTAAAAACTGTTATTGCTTATAATGTCATTTTTATCTGAGACAAGTGGAGCTCTTTTCTAACAAAAGCCTATTTAACTTCTTTACAAGGCAATTACTAACTCTCGAGTTCTATGAAAATGTTGCAACCAACGAACAAGCTACAATTTCTGAAATTGTTTCATATTCACAGTGAGGACAATGACAGTGATCCTGAGACTGTAGCTGTAACCCAAGCGGAAGCCTTCAATGCAATAAATGGCATACGAAATTTTTTACAAACTATGAGGGAGCTGAGAAATATTTTGAGAAGTTACAAAATCTAGAAAACATTGTTCGAAAAATGAAACCAAAAATGAGACAGACCTGCATAAATGATTTATTTTAAATAAGGTAAGATGTAATGTATGTATGTACACTTTGAGGAAATTTGTAAACAGCTTTATTTTAAATTAAAA